GGGAGGGGGGTGGCTAGCCCCAAGCCAACACAGTGAAATGTCACTCATTCCTATCTGCTGAACTTGCAGATCTATATTTTCCAAATCGTGTTCTCTTTATTTGGTCCCACCCCGCGAGGTGCTTTTTACGTTTGAGGGTAGGAGAAAAAAGAGGCTCTAGTCTAAGCAGCTTATTGGAGACGGTGGGCGTATTTGAGAGTTGGACTCAATGCAGGAATAAATGTTGCTATTTGAGTCTATGTATTTTTGAGAACCTCTCTACCACTTTTACTGTGAATGTGCAATACTTTTAGAAATCTTAGAATGTCTTTTTTAAACTAATGGCCTCCACGACTCAATATTTTGTTAAGCCTAGTATTTGTTATTCTCGAGAGAGAAAATGTAAATAGAAATTGGAAAATAAATTTTACAATAAAATGCAAATATTTTTTCTGCATTTTTTGGCTTTTTTAGTGAGAACAGGAACGATGTTTGGTTATGAGCATGCGCACAATTTAACATACGGGGTAATATATTTACATGCATGATATCGAGGCAATCAATCAATCATTCTTTTTTGAAAAACATGAGGGGAAGAAGCAAAAAGAAGCGATCTTTATATTTCTTCTGGAAAATAATCTTATCTGGTGATTTGTATCATAAAATCAAAACTCGGTTCACAAGAATAATACAGTAACAATACCTGACGTTAATTCAAGAATACTTGGTTGCATAATATTGATGCATACTTCGCAAAAACAAGAGAACTGAGAAGGTAGGCGAAAGTTTATATATGTTATTTATTTTCGTATGAAAGATTTGGGAATTGCTCTTTGAAAAATGTGCACTAGCCAGCTTAAATCGTTTGTTTTATTTGTCGTTGTTGTTTTAAAATTACGATTGAAACTGAAAAAGCAACTGTTCGCTAGTACTACACAACACAATGTTCGATTCAAATAATGAAATATGTCTGCATTTGCATTTCAAAATTGATCCGATCCGATCATGTTTACTCGTGAACAAGCAAATATATGCGTAAGGAAAAGCTTCTGAAAGAATATATTTACTCTTACTGTATAACCGTTTAAAGGAAATAAAATATTTATGATTGAACATTTAAGTATGTAAAACTTTTTTGCTGGTCCTTAATCTTGCACGTTTACATATTCTGTCAAGTTCGTCTCTGATCATGCCTGCTAAAACCACTTTGATCTGGTTGTATGAAACTTTTCGATTGAGAGCATCTCTGATCTGCCGAAGAGTCGGTAAACCCTGTTCAATTAGACGAGCAATCGTATTGGTAAGATGACTGTGAATGTTCAATTCACTAGATAGCTTTTCTATTGATACCATTGGAGCTCCAGCACAATAGGCATCAATTAGGTATACTTCGGCTGTTGGAATTTCCACTTGTAGAGCCTTGGCAATACACTTTATGTTCGAATGGCTTTTTCCAAACATTTTCGCTGCTTGAATCTTTTTTGCTGATGCTTTATTTTTCCCATACAGCGCCTTCAAACTTTTATTCTGTTGTATAAAGTATACGGAAATACCTGTCAAAACTTTCATGATGTTTTGGCGTGTTGTGCTCACTTTTGTGTGTATTGATAATTTATAAATATATGTTTGCCTAGTATAAAAATCATAATGAAAGTGCATGGTCTAGCCCTCTGGGTCTAGCCATAGACACGTATTTATTTAGATAGCTAGGCTACGACATGTGTACCAGTAAACTATGAATTCTTGTTTAAAAATGCTGGAGGTAACTCGCGAATCCAAATTGAAAATTACTTCAGGCCCAGTTTTATGCTTATAGATTTACAACTTCATGAAGGATTTATAATCGTGTAGAGACGTTTTTGCCCTGTTTAATGTTGTATTATTAAACACCGGGTATCCCATACTAGCAAGGAAATAAATTTCTAATTATACTAATACCTAGGAAACATAAACTTACACTACCTTTATTTCTATAACACTGCCAGTTGAAGTTGAAGGAACTTCGCCTTCCATCTTCACTTGAATGCCAATTTGGTCTATGAATATTGTTTTTAAAAAACTCTGTCAGACAGTGTAGTACTAGTATTGAAAAGGGTTTTTTTAAAACAAACAAAACATTTTGTTTACCTAGGAATATAGCTGTTGAAAACGGGGAAAATATCACAAAAAGAGTGTATTTAAAGTCCATTTTACTTTTATTCAATGCAGTCGTTCTGCGATATATTATAAAGCGTATTTAAATGCGTTTTTCTGTATATTTTATTTCAATTTTAACAGTTATTGGCAACATTATTAAGGCCAAGGGCAAGGTTATTTAAAAGGCCATAGGCATAGCGTACGTTTTGACCTGTCGCAATTCACAAAAAATTACACTTTTAGCATAGAATTTTGAACCAGAATTTAATATGGAATAAAGAATAATTGTACTAACCTTTTCACTTAAACTTTTTTGTCTTTAATGCTTTCTTTTTGCTGTTATATTTTTTCCCGCCAAAACGTTTTTGAAGTATCGCTCACTTGCAGTTCGCCGTAACCCGGGTATAAGCTCCCGGGTTTTTGGCCCTTAGTAGCAAAAGCCTGGTTACTAAGTTTTGAGCGTTTTTGACAAAAATTACGCGAGTTTGTAAAAAATCTCCTCTTAATTAATTAATCAATCAGCCACAAAATTGTCAATCGTGTATTATTCTCGGCCTAAAAGCTAAACCTATTAATCCTAGTTGGTGTTTAGTTTGGCTTTTGCTGCTACTGAAACGACTTTTATATAATTATGTGATTACAGCTCGGAATTACAGTGGGTTCTGCATAAGATTTTATCTGGATTCGATGTTTCACTGTTTAGTATCGAGTAAAATCAACAAATAATTATGGATCAAACGAGGATGAGAGTATTTTAATTAAGTTGAAACATAGTTGGAACACTCATCAAAGCTTTAATAATATTTTGTTCATCTGGAACTTGAAATGTCCTTTGTGTATTTATAAGCAATTCATGCATGACTTTCATCCTCATTTGACCGAGGTTATAATCTAAAATACCAGTTTAAAAACTTACATTATCAAATGAACCAGTGTTGCCAGTATGCCTGATTCAGGAGATGATTCTTGATTGGGAAAAGTTAAACTAGACTGGGCTACTAGCAAGTGATATGTCGCAGGATTTGAGCTAGTAGTGAACTGGATATTTCAATGTTGTTTGCACTTTTTTCATTGTCGCTGTCACTTTCAACTAGAACCTACATATACAAAAAATAAATAATCTTACATTAAAACGTGTTTCGTATCGTAAACGTGAAGCTATAAGAACATATTTTGAATAATTGATGTTCGCTGTCGTGATTTGGCCATCAGCAAACAACAGTCTTCGACACGAAGGCCAAGAAAGTAAATAACATTTGCCAGAATTAGGCTAGTACAGCACGAGACGTTTCTTGAACGTATTTTCCTAATAAATTGTTTATTTGTCCAGAATATACTGCAACGAACGAGGTTTTACGCTTGTATTTTATCCGTATCCCTCGTCGAAGCAAATCCCAACGGCCAACGTTCGATAATGGCGCCAAAAGTTAGTACGCATCAAAGATTAAGTATATAAAGATGGCCGACTCGCGGAAAATCCTGTCCCCACTTTTTCATTGCGCATGCGTGAGAGTCTGGTAAGCGCCGAACTAAATTTTTGTATTGAAGTTAATGGAGAAATGTTGAATTTTCGGAATAAAACAGCGATTTTAAAAACATCTGCCGTCCGATCTTTATTTTGAGGACAAAATTTGAAAGAATATGTCAAGCTGCGTCTGTTGAACAGTAGATTATTACACAAATATGTTTAAAATGAACGAAAATTTGGATAAATGACCTCCGAAGGAGTGAGATCTTATGCTGTCAACAAGTCAGGTGAGATTCTTTTCGTTTTTCGATAGTGTTTTGTGAAATTTCGTACCTTAGACAACAGATGCATATAGGACTATTGGTAACTGACACTAAAAACATGTTTGGGATGCGTATAACTAGAGTTTTTATATATATACAAAGACAATTTACTGCAGAGTTTGATCGTTCTATTTTACTCCAGGCCTGATCATTTACTCCACAGTCTGAAACTGAATCGTGCAGTAATTTTAAAGTATTTCTAATGTCTTGATGATTTTAGGTTATTATAATGTCAAGTGCTATTTGTATGCGTTGCTTGGATGTCTTGGATATTTTTTAATTTGGATAATTTATACTGTCTTTTGATAAAAAGAAAAAAAATTGTGCAAAAAAAGTTTATATTTGACAATTGTGAAAATCAAGGTCAAAATCATTTATTATAATGTAAAATGTTTTAAAAACTAATATATACATTGAAATTATCAAAAAGTATTAGGAATACATGTATAAAACGAGATAAATTGGAATGAATTACGTTTTTGCCTTTGAAAAACTAAATTTGTGTATTTTAGTATTGATCATTCACTACTGTACACAACTTTTACTATGTTTTTAAACCAAACCATTAAACGAATATTCACAAAATATGATGAAATACATGCCAGTAATTTAATTTCCTTTCAACACCTTCAACTTTGAATGTGCATGTTGTGTTATTACTTATTTGGACTCTTAAACTCAAGAAATTGTCTTTGTAGCAAGCACCTTGTCTGTCATAAATCTGCTATATGTATTATGCACTTGTCATCGGAACAACCAAACCTCCCCACTACCACCACCCACACACCCACCCCGGGGAAACATGGATGCGTGGGAGGTGAGAGGTGTAGTTTGAGGACAAGATTAGGCATGATTACATGTGGGCTACCCATAATCCTATGGGTAGCCTATTGTCGAATGGACGACTGATGTTTTTGCACAATTGTTCTATGTTTAAAGTTATTCATCATTCGACTTTAAATATTCCATGTTTGAAACTTTGACTAAATGTGTTATTCTAGAAGTTGCTTTGGCCTGTTTTGCTTACCCCTATGTGTGGGGCTTTTTCTTTCATTAGTTTCTAAAAAAGTCTATTTATGCCCATGTTTCCCCTGGGGTGGAGGGGTGCGTGTTTCCGATGACAAGTGTATTAAGCACTGTTTCAAAGCTAATTTTACTGAGTGCAATAGTCCAAATAAGCAATAACTCACCATGTGCAATAGTCCAAACAAGCTATTAAGTAAACTCACATATACAAACAAAATGTTTAATAATTACAATAATATTTAATTACTGTTATGGGATCAGTTACCATTAGCATTTTAATATAATGAGGGATATGCTTTGATACCATTTTCTTCGGTAACAAAAAATAATTGCTATTTCTTGGCAGCTTGAGTGCAATCAGAGAAAGCAGTATCTAACACAACTCTGCATTAGCTAACACAACTCACATTATGTTTGAAGAGGTGCACATGTTTACATTTAACAATACTATAAGTTTTGTATACCCTAATACAGTAAGGGTTAAGTCAATGTGGAATATACAATAAAATAATCAAACTCATAACATCAAAATGTATAGAATATTTGACAGCATTTTTCAAATTGGATAGCTAAGCATTCCACAAAACATTGTTGATCAAGAATCCATTGTCATTGCATTTTACCCAGATAGTCAAAGAGCAGATTTGTAGTTCTTTTAACATGGAAAGTCTATCATTCAACTAAAAAGAGAATAATTTGATTATTTATTGGGTGTATTTTACAGAAATACAATTGGATGAAACACAGCTGCACACACAGAGACAACCAGTGTGAGGTTGTATTTATTATAAGCAGGGACCGTCAATGGTCAAACAAATAATGTCTATATACAAAATAATGCTTACTGACTATAAATGCAAGTCATTGGTTTAGTACACTACCTGGACAACTGATATTGTTATTTATTTAAGCATAGGAATGTGTTTATATTGGTACCTGACTCAATTCAATAAATTCAAATCCCCAAAATTTCAGTTAACAGTATAGTGTTTGGTCTCAAAGATATATTTCAGGTCTAAATGCTTTTACTATCTTTGTGTATAAGGAAACATTTTGGTACTAGCCTAACAAAATAATATTTCTATATATTTGAATATTGTTTGTATTAGTATATTGTTTGTAATCTGTACAGTAAATAAAAACTCTGGTTGTACGCATCCCAAACATATTTTTAGTGTCAGTTAGCAATAGTCCTATATGCATCTGTTGTCTAAGGTACGAAATTTCACAAAACACTATCGAAAAATGATCAAGAAATGAAAAGAATCTCACCTGACTTGTTGACAGTATAAGATCTCACTCCTTCGGAGGTCGTTTATCCAAATTTTCGTTCGTTTTAAACATATTCGTGTAATAATTTTCCGTTTAACAGACGCAGCTTGACATGTTCTTTCGAATTTTGTCCTCAAAATAAAGATCGGACGGTAGATGTTTTTAAAATCGCTGTTTTATTGCGAAAATTCGGCATTTCGCCATACAATTCAATACAAAAATTTTGTTCGCCGCTTACCAGACGAAACGCGTGGAAACCGCGTGGGCTTCCGAAACGGGGGACACCGAGAACAAAGGAATTTTCCGCGAGTCGGCCATCTTTATATACTTAATCTTTGGTACGCATGCTCGAGAATGATCGCAAACCCGATTGCTTACGGGCGCGTGCATTCTCGTTCCCAGTTCCCGCGATCATTAATATTACACCCAGGCGGTGTGCGCAATACGACCGCAAAGCGTGATGGGGTTTTCGCGCCTGAATTGCAATTGCACCTCATTTGCATTTTGCTTTGACCGAGTGAACATCAGAGACAATCAGTGTCAGCGAAAATAAATACTCTAATTTAATATTCTTCGATGGGAATCAATTGCCTTTATTCCCACACATAAAGAAATATGGTAATAAGGTGCATATCAGCGAATTTTATGGACGAATTGTGGCAGTCGACGCTTCGTGTTGGATCCATAAAGCGTTAGCAATTTTATCACAACATGGCAAATATCTCGAAAGGTGAGTTATAAATATAGGTCATTTTTTCACTAAATACTTATCTTCAATACAAAAAGCTGGAGTGATTCCATTTGTAGTGTTTACTTAAAGCATATACAACAATATATAATAATTAAATGCTTCTGATTGCTTTTATTTTATGTACTGTAAGCACTCAACTTGGTTCACTCTCAGTAAATGTTCAAATAGTATCGATACTATTAATAGCTAAAAACAAAAATGATACAAAAATATTCAGCCTTTGTGTTTGCGAACTTGACTTATCTGCAGAAGGTAAGGATGGGAATTTCATTAGTTACCATTTACTGTTGTTAACACAAAGGAGGGGCTGGTTGATGAACATTTTGATGAACAATTTCCATTTTACCAGAGAAGCTAGCTGCTACCTCCTAGTAAACTCACTGCCATTGTAGTTTGCCACTTCCTAGCCTACCAAAATCTTTGCAGTCCTGGGTTATTAGCACTTGTTGTGATGGTCAGAATAAATTTCTTAACACAATAATCAGCATCCTGGACAAGCATTTTGCCAATGAGCTTGCTGCAGGAAACATCAACCCAACAAGTGGAATAAACCAAAATAACTTTTCTCACCTCCAGGTAGTAATTGGTTGCATTTTGATTAATGCATACCAAAGTAAAATAATCTAGTTGCATTACAGCTTGTACATTGTCCTTGTACAATGAAGTGACACAAAAATAACTTCATTTTAGGTCCTCTTCCAAACATGCCAACAGAAAGTCAGACTATACAGGTACAGTAGTGAATTTACAAGCCAGTATTTACCAGCAGTATTTATCTGTATTTACCATCCAGTATTTACCAGTAGGTAAATACTAGCCTAAAATGAACATGTTTTTTGATTGATTTGCTTAGACAAAGGTGATCATAATTTGTGACTTGTTCTTTGAAGTAATTGTTATCGTAGCTATCTTAAAACATCACAAAATCTTTGAAAGCTGTATTTGTAAAAAAAATTAGTCATGATGATAATTATCTTCAAACAAACCACAAAGACCATTTTGGTCCAAAATAGAAATTTGTTATCACAACACAAAAGGTGGTGACTGCAGCTAATTACACTTACGGTCTTAGGCCATCATAACTTAAGCTTGTATGAACTTATTTTGTGTAATTGCAGGTGAAATAGTTGGGACCATTACAAGCATTGCAGACTCATGGTTCTCATGGACTATATCAACCTTCCCTGTTATGTCCATTGCCCATAGAATTTAAATGAATAAATGTAGTGCTAAACTCTGGCAATGCACATGCTCTAATTAGAAGATCTACTGACATCTGCCCAGGAAAATTTAAATGTACGTCGCACTGCAAAATTACAATTGATGGAATTGAGTACATTGTTTATGGAAAATAACAAAAGTAAGCGAGATTAGAGATGAGAGTGCCGCAGATATGGCGAGACAAAGCATTGAAGAAAAGCAAATTGAAAGTGAAGTGCACACTGTTCCACTTAAAGTTCTTGGATCATGTCATTCAGGTGAAAGACAGAAAATATTAGAGGAAGCGTTCGAGTACCTAAATGAGTATAATAGGCCAGTCTATGTGCAGTTGGAAAAAGAACCAGACAATTTACATGATCCAAATGCAATTGCAACTTATGTGAAAACTGTTGATGCATTCCACAAGTTTGGTTATATTGCAAGCAGGGACGCTGGGGGGGCAGGAGGGGCAGCTGCCCCTCTTGCCTTTTGTTAGTAGGGGCAAGGGGGGCAGAAGTGCCCTTTAAGTTATAAAATACTACACCTGATAAATCACGTTTCCAGTGATGCTTTTTGCATGGGCAAAATCATGAGGTGTGATCTTGAATGTGACCTGATTAAGTGCGTTTGCTTTCATTGGCAAGTCAACACATAATTGTAGGTTTATATCTTCACCGAGGTTTACAGAGGTGCCCTTTGGTGTGTGTTTGCCCCCCTTGCCTTTTTATCGTTCCGGCGTCCCTGATTGCAAGTGAACTGACACAGTATATTAGCCCCCATATGAACGGCCTTAGCTTTGATGTGTCTATAAAATACATCAAACTACATACAACTTTTATGCGAATTGGATTTTATCACACAATTGACATATCCAAAAAAGGTTCATGGCATCCTAATGTGGTCAAAGCTAGCAAGTCTGCTATGTAAATGCATAAAATATACTGAATAGAACTGGTTTGATGCAGCCCATCCTATTAAAAAATCAACATTTGTAAAGTAAATTAACTTGTCTGTTTTTAACGTGTTTATAAATATGAATGACTATATTCATTGTTATTTGTTATTTACAAATATGTGCATAAGGTTATGTACTGTGTGTACTGTGCACAGAACTGCCCACTTTCTGTAAGATGTCCGCTGACCACTCTCCTCCGCAGAGGCTTTGTAGTTTGTTTTCTTTCTATGAGAATGAGTTTGTTTTCTTTCTTTCTATAAGTTTGACTTGCGGGCAGTAGCGGGCTAGGTAGAGAAGTGGGCACACAGGGGGAGCAAGCGCGGGGTTAAAAGGGGGGCATCATGGACATTTGGAGCCGCTACTGCTCGCAAGTCAAACTTATATAGAAAGAAAACAAACTACAAAGCTTCTGCGGAGGAGAGTGTCCGCTGGCAATACGAGCCCGCATGAGTGGGAGAAATTTTTCTAAATTTGACCAATGTGCTCACATATGTTTTGGCACTGGTGGCAAAGCCACTCAGGTGTGCCATCTTCTCATCTCTCAAAGCACCATGACATACCATAAAGCAAGTTCTTCTTGCCCTCTTGCAATGTTTTCATGGCATTTAAACTTTTGTCCAGAAAATCTGCCTGCACAAATTGGTATAAAGCCATGCATGCCTCCAAGCTCAATAAAAAAGCTTTTAAAAATAGTTCAATAATTGTTCCTTTA